TTGCCAGTTGATAGGTGATAATCTCTTGAAAACTTGGCTCCAGCTTCTGGAGTAGAGTACTTTGGTGAACAAATCTCATGCTCAACATAATGCCATCTTAAAAAGTAAAGTGATCAATCAAAGGTAGAGAATAAAAGTGTACTTATTCCATTTTAACAAAGAGAAATATCAGTTGACTGTAGAAACAAGTCTTCGTTCCAAAATTAAGAATTTTAAAATGTAAATTTGAACTGTATGATAATGAAGACAACAGCAGTACTGATAATGATGGACTGCTCTGAAGTAAAACAGGTTAAGGGCTCTGCTACATCTCCTGGAAGCATTATTTCCCATAAGCAAATTACTGTGTGCCCCATAAACATCTTTGCTACAGTCCTTAACTCCTTCAGTTTCTTATGCAACTTCTTAAAACATTTCTAAAAACACCAATCATCAGGAAGCAATCCTAAAAAGATTTTAAAATGGAATAATCAAAATGGTTTCACATAGATTCACATAACACATAATTACTCCGAGGGCATACAATCAAAATCAAGTAAGTAAACCTTAAATTAGCATAACTTTACAATAGGATACTGCTTTTGTGTGTGTTCACATTCTAAAGTTCAGTTGTCAACTGTTAGATTACCACATTGCTGGAGACTTCTAGGCAAAAACTAGGTGTCTTTGAATTACAGCCAGCACTGCTACAGGCATCCTAAAGGCACTGTTAACACTAAAAACAACAGCAGCAGCAATAATTTTTCAGTTTGACAGGTGCTAAATACCACTGAATTTGACTGTAATTCCATTTTTATTGTAGCTACTGCCCAACACTCCCGAAATGAACTTACAGTAATATCATTATAATGAATGGCCTTAAACCAGTACTGTTCCAGCTGAACAATATATGGACAACTTGTGCGCCTACTACAGTATCCCAAGGAGAGTGTTGGGATCTATCACTAAGTCCCCTCTTATCTCAAAGTCCTTTACCATTTTGTCCTATCTCATTTCCCCTGTAAATATTCATATTGCGGATGTCTTAATACTTAGGTTGATACAAAACAATGCTCAATGTAAAGCTTACTTAACTCTTATTGGAAGCATTCCAATAAGTCACAGAGCAAGAGAATAGTTTTACTACTCATTGTGGCATGAAGCTATTCTTTTACAGTCAAATTTCAGAGATGACAGTCAGTATCAAGGAAATTAAAAGCTTGTTTTAATTCAAAGGAATTGCCAGACTATCTCCTGGACAAGAAAGAAAAACTGTATTTCTTGGAGACAGGTATCTACTGGACGGCTTCAAAATGGTAGATTGGCTATAAACTGATATTCTCAACCCCAAGAAATTTCTCTAGTGGATGCAGCCCAACCCTAGACACATGCAAAAATATTAGGTCACTGCAAGTTAGATGGATGAAGGGACATCCATCTGGATAGGGGGGAGAGAGACTGTTAAGTGAGCAACTGAGTAACAAAATAATGAGATCACCAAAAAGCAGGTAATTTTGAGTCAGTATACCATACTGAAGCATCTCTATGCAGGGTCAAACAAATGCCAGAATGGGAACAAAGAAAGGCACAGGAGCATGAAGCCCATGCCAGGGCTGTGGGTGGGCCTGCAATAGCCAGCACTTCGATGGCCAACCGAGCAACCATAACCTGAGTGGGAGAAGATCCTGTGCATTTCTTCCCTTGCAAATGTTGACAAATGATGCAGGTGGTAAGCCTACATTCCACTGTTGAGTATAAATGTTTTGTTTGTATTTTATCTTCATCTGATCCGAGTTAAACATACTTCCAACTAACTTGGCTAATAAGCCATCTCTCTTGGAAAAGTATGACAAGATTGAGATATGTACTCCACTAAACAATAGTAAGAAGGAAAGCTCTGACATGCAGCAATACACTTGGGAGCAGACTTAAATACGGTCAGAGTTCATCATAGACAGCAACAGTAAGTAGACCTGCAATACAGATGCAATTGAATACTTCATATTGTGTTGGGACACAAGAATGGCAGAGAGCATTGTTCAGGCTTCTTGACCACAATACTAGATGTCATCCACACAGTTCAGCCTTGCAACATTAAAGTCTCCAACTCCAAGGACTTCCCATCTTCCTCCAAAGAATTTGCCACCCTGATCAGTTCTATGCCAGCTCATACATACACTCAGCCTATTTGCAAAATTAGAATCTGAAAGCTCTGAGAAGTTTGATTGACATATGCTAACAACTTCAGTGGTTTTGTATAAAGAAAGCCAGAACTGAATTGTTGACCTCACTGATCATTTTAAAGAGACATTTCTGTTGGCAATCTGCTGGTTATCTGAAAACACAAGATCTTCTACACCATTCTGAAACTGCCAGTTAAAATGACTTAATATAAACCATCATCCCAAACATGTTTGCCTCTTGTATACTTCTACCACTCATAGAAGTTTGCTCTATATTTATAAATCAGAGTTAATGTGGGTCATTTTAAACATCCTTTAAAAAGCACAGTTTTAATTCCCCATCTGTCCTGTAAACTTCCAACACTGAAGAATTACATTGCTATATTGCACTTTATGTCTCAAGTCTAAAAAATAAGGACAGAAGAAGATAACCATATTTTGTTCAAAAGCAATATTCATTACTTTGACTACATAAAACACTTACTTTACCAGGAATGGATTCATATTCATATTGTATATAACTGTCTCCAAACAGATGGTAGTGACCCAACATTTTACCAGTGGGGCTATGAATATATTCTCAATCTAATAAGAGAGCATGTAAGTCATTATCAATTAAATGCACGCACTCCGCAAACTCAGACACAAACATCACAAACTCAATACAGCTTCAGTCCCAATACAGGTCTGTGATTTTTGCACAGTAATCAAACCAAATCTTAATCTTTTCACAGAGAGATCACTTTCTTTCCAAAGTAGAACAGAATTCAAAGCATCCTCTATAATAATAGATAGAGCAGCTTTTCAAATCCCTCACTGCAGATTCTCCAAGAAGGTTCTATTGAGATGAAAATGTTTGTATCAAAACCACATAAAATACTACTCAAGAAAACCATCAAACTACTGATCATGTATACCATGCAAATTAAGTAAGACACAGAGAACATCTCTAGCCTCCCTCATTTGTTTTTGCTTTTGGGTTGTTTGGGGTCTTTTTTGGAAATAATTTCAGCCTTTGCCTAGTTTATTTTCTTAATGGCATTGTATAACATTTTAGAAAGATTCAGTCACAGAACAGAAGATAGAACAGTCTATCTTCTGTTCTGTGATTGAAAGCAGGAAGTGATTTTCTATGTAATACACCTTTAGTACCTCCAAATGCAAAAGCTTCTGCCAACACAGTAAAATATAGACCAGAAACAGCATGGGGAGATATATGCATGCCTGATATTAAACAAGGATGTTGAGATTCTCCAAATCACAGAATCATGTGGGGGACCACGTCCAGGCAGGTTTATGAATATCTCCAGAGAAGGAGACTCCACAACCTTTCTGGGCAACCTGTTCCAGTGCTCTGTCACCCTCAAAATAAAGAAGTTTTTCCTCATGTTGAGATGAAACTTCCTGTGTTCCAGTTTGTGCCCATTGCCCCTTGTCCTGTCGCTAGGCACCAATGAAAAGAGTCTGGGCCCATCCTCAACACCCACCCTTTAGATATTTATAAGCATTGATAAGATCCCCTCTCAGTCTTGAAAGCATTGAGATGGGAAGGGTAGTGAAGATCTGAAAACAGGAGAAAAGATGCCTTGTTCAAGGTGAAATGAAGTATGTTATTGAAGCACATTCAGAGTCTGCCAGAGAAACAGACATGTATCACTTGAAATAATAACGAATTTTTCAAAGTCCAGAGTGAGAATTCAGACCAGAGAAAGCTACTCCCAGTAAATGGGTAACGATGGCCTGAAAAGCAATTATAGAATTTACACTTCCCTGGCTCAGAAATGCTCTTCAAGCCCTTGCGGATGTGACATTTATTATGTTCATCATAATTACAAGATCAGATAACATAAACCCACATTCGTTGCCAGTTAAAACATCGTCTTTTGGTTGCTGGCAGCCCCACATCAGAGGGCACAAAGAACTATGCTATATAGTGCTACCAGAATAACAGCTCCCACCACATTGAAATTCACCTAAGCCAGTTGCTCCCTGACCTCCCTATCTCAAAAATCAAATATTCATGTGTTCAGATACCATCTGTCCCTGAGTCCTTTCCTAATTTTTAACTATCTAATCAATTACCTGATATAAACAACTGTAAGTGATCTGTCCCCAAGCAAATGAAGTGTTTGACAACACTGACACCAAGCGACAGAATTCAGAAAAATATAAACTAAAACAACCCCCATGCAGAAATGTTAGAGCATTTCATTAGTATGCTCTGAAAGAGGCAAAGTCTTATTCTACCAAGAACACCAAAAAAAGCAGTGAAGACCTATTGCGAGAGTTGATATTTTCACAGAAGCCATGTGTAAGTGACAGAAAGTATGTCCAATGTTAAATACATGTTAACAATTTGATTTAACCTTGATCTTGCAAGCATGAGTCAAAGACCACGTACACTTGAGTTTTATGCAATCTAGACTTTTAAATTCACTTCTAATGAAGAAAAAACTGGTGGTTTGTATGCACAGTCAATATTTGATCCCATTAACTTATGTGGATTTAGTTCATTTTTCAAGTAAAAAAATCCAAACAGTACTTTTATACTTTTATTTTAAAAAAATGTTATGTGTTAATGCAAAGTTCAGTAGTCTGCTAAGTCTCACTTACTTGCTTTACCTGTCGTCTTCTCTACTGAGAAATCAAAAACCTAGTAGTCCAACATCATGTGCATTAAATAGAACTGTCACCCCTCCTACTGGCTTACCTTGTGACATTACACAAAGCATAAGACCCTACTCATTGAAAAATAACTCTCTCAAACCCGTCAGTTTTACCACCCATCATGTTTATACCCAGTATTCTATGTCTTCCTGCCAAGCTTTCAGTTCTTACCTGCTGACGTTTGTATGCCAAATAATCAAGATTTTCCAGATCTTTTTGAAACTTCTGGTAGGTTTTCTGTAGATCAGATTTACTGGATACATTTCTTAAAGATTCGAATGTCCTTTGAAACTGTGATGGTAAAAAAAACAAATACCATCATTCACATGGTTGCTGTATTTTTTGCTGTATTAGGATTTTATTCTACTAAATACTAATGTTATGGAGCTGTGTCACCTCTTGAATATACCACCTTCTAGACATACCCACAATTTCATTTCGAAATCAATCCCGGAATACAAAGCATAGTACATATGCCCTTTTTAATTAAATTAAATCCTCTAACTTCATAGGTCAGACTTGCAGAAGACAAAACACTAGCAATCAACACCATCTCCAAAGGTTAGCTGTTTTTCTGTGTCATGTTACAGGATGGAATATATTCATATAGTTTTAATATTTTTTTCAACTAATAAAAGCATATGCAATTTTATAAAGGCCATGAATTCCTCATTCTATCAACAGTAGACCTTATACATAAAAGAGGGTACTCCTTATCAAGTTAATTTACTTAAGAGTAATTTGCAAGACTGGATACTCACTTTGAGCAATGTGCTCGCATTCTGTATGAAAGCTGTGACAATGTTAATTATACTTCATTACAGATTTTACTTTTAAATTTAAAACTTTTCATGCTTACACTGTTATTAAAAATAGTACTGGTATTTTTCAGAGAGATAAGCAATGCCAACCCAGTTGTAGGGAACTGTAACAGAAAGGCTACAAGGGAGCTACAGCTTCCTTGCTACCTTCAGGAAATCATGAACATTCTCCTCTGAATTTCTCTGTTTCCCATCTGTAAATATTCTTCTTCACCTCACAAGCATGTGACAGCTGTAAAGCTGTAAGTAGTTTAGAAATATTTTCTTATCACAGTGATTATCACCAGAAGCAAGTCTATAAACATTTATTTACACTGATATAATCAGGAAGAACTACATCTTCTAAATCCATCCAAAATATTGACTTAGCTTACTACATCTACAGGCCCTGTAGATGAAGTACCTACTGTAAGCTTGCATGCGGTACTAATGTCCTGGGAAGGAGGCAAAAGACCAAAATAAATGGATGACTTTCCAGTCAGTTCTGGAAAACCAAGCACTTCAGTAGTAACTACAGCCCATATTTCTCTATACCTTTGCTAAAACTAGTCATTGAATTGGAAAAATGAGCCATAGGAGTAGAAGAGAAAAAACATCCCCTCATCTTCAGTCCCTCTTTAAAAAGCAGAAAACAGAATTGACAGCTAGTGCTGATGGTGGATGTAGACTGCTCCACAGCATGATATAATTCAATAAAATAGATGGTTAATGGCCAGGATATCCACTTAGAAGTCCATCTTTAGGGGCAAGGGAAAAACACTTTTTTAAAATTTTAACTGTAAAGTAAATAAAAAAACAAACAAGCAATTTTAAGAAAATATACATATGCACTTTTCACTGCCATTAACAGGAAATCAGAAAAATCTGCCTTGGACATAGAAGGATTATGAGAACATGTTTTAAACTTAAAACCACATCTTGATCTTTGTCATTCTGCTATATGCATGAACCACTATTTTTGGGTGAATGGCAAAAAACCTCTCTCACCACCACTTTTACTGTCTAAAGGTAAAAAGAAATACTAGTACTCCAGAACTTATTTTTTTTCTCTCTCTCACTGATTACCAAATGTAAATAATCATAAGAGATCCACAGAAGCTCTTTTTTGTCTGACACTTTTTCAAAGTACTTTGAACATCGTTCCTGGAAGCTGAGAAGTAGCATTCCTTTACTACTTTTGCTCTCTGTAGCACTACTGAGTAGCTATTTGGAATGATTTTTCCTCTGAGAAAAGCTGGACTACAAGTAGAGAAGAAATAACAGTATTTCAACAGTTCTAAAGAGCTGCTTCTGTTTGTCACATTACCATAGAAAACTTCCTAGCACAGATAGTGCATAGACAACTTCATGACTTTTCAAAACACAAGAACATTACATTACCTTTGTGAACATTACAACATTCCACTCACAATAAAAAAAAGCCAAAAACAAAATCAACAACTGTAACACTAGAGCCAAGCACCCTGGCGCAGAAACACACAAGGTGGATAACAGACCAGACACTATGTCCTGAACATGCGCTGTCAAGACATTGCTGAATGAAGGTTGCGTGCTTATCCGACTGGAAACCAACACACAGTGGATGTCTAAGTGGAGCAACTCTCACAGTCCCATTTTAGGTATCTTGAAGCAACAAATACCATCACAATTTGAAAGTGATGAAGATCCAGAATGTGGATGGACCAGAAGAGTGTTATTAATATGGCCTCCTCATAAGTACGATGCCCCTGAGTAGTATGGTAAAGACCTGCAACCTCATCTCAGACAATGATGATGGAGGGTTCTATCTAGTTAGTAAGTAATTTTAGTCCTGTAAGCATCGGGACTAAAATTTCCTGTAGTCTCACAGCTTATTCATTGTAATGTCAAAGAAGCGTGAGCTCTGACTGAAGTCTCTCCTGCAGTAAAGCTGTTTATAAGGACTGAGAATCCTCTGGTGTCTTTATAAGTTCCTGATGTAGCCTTTTTCGTTTTTTTCTCCGCTATCCACCTACCTATTTTCAGGAACCTTGGAACTTCTGCTCTTCTGTCATATATAATGGAAATGAAGCAATAAGTTCAAAGAGGCAAGGCTGAGGTATAAACAGAGTGGTTGCATTATGTTTCAACAGGAAGTCATACTAAAATTTTGATATTATTTAAGTTAAAATTTAATATGTTTGATCTTCATTCAAATTAATTTATCCAATTTAATACTTAGAAGTCTCTTCATGTTGTAGCTTAGCTCTGCATCTTTCTGTAAAAGGTTAAGGTCACTGGTCACTGTTGCTACCATGTTTAGCTGTTGCAATCAAAATGGTTCACAATATGAGTATTTGTGAGAAAAGTAATGATACTAAAGGCAGTTGCTGTCTGATTTTTAAAGTCTAATTATAACACTTCGATACCATAACTTTGCAGCTGCACTTCATCGCATCCTTTATGGAATCCCAAGGAAATAGCTTCTGCACTAGACAAGTTTGAGCTTGTTTGAGGTTTTGGTTCAAGTCAATACCTAATTTGGGTCTTGGCCACATTCTTGAAGAGCCACAAGAATACCTCAGGAGGACAACCTTCTCTCCAAGTTTAATGGGATTCCTTTGACAAGCCTGGGAACCTCAATATGGGCCATGAAAATTAAAGGCTTGTCAGCTAAAGAAGAGGCCAGGCCACAAAAATATGAGAATATAAACATGCAGTGCAAAGTACTTTATTGCTTACAATTCAGAGATGTGGGAAGACACATCATTAAATATGGAGTACATAGTCTTATTCCTGGTATTAACCTTACAATCTCCATATAAACTGAAAGAGGCATGGGAGGCAGCAGATACTGCTTCTTCAGTCTGTGAATGACGCTATCTGACAAACCACATAGCTTTCATGTCACTTAACTGGGAGTCTAGCTAAGTTATAAGGGTGGCATAATCAAATGGCCTGCTGCACATCCTTTACTTGGTCTCCCTCTACATACGTGGTTCAGACTTAGGGCCACTGCTGCAAAAAGCCAGTCGTTACTCAAGAATAAGGATAAATGGCTCTTTTCTGGTTTGTCTAGAGCTGCAGAAGCAAAAGAGTATTTGTCTTTCAGAATATCAATATTATCATCTTCCACTGTGCAGGGCAGCAAAATAGCACTGAACTATTTTAATCATTTGTGAAATAGTTCTCTTTATTTCCATATGAATTTCAGTTGAATTAAGGGTGAGAAACAAATTTTATTTCCATTCTGACATAAGGAAGTCGTTCATTAAAAAACCTTCCTGTTTTAATAACATACTGCTTCTTTAAAAGACTAAATTTTATGAAATGTACCATTTTAAATCACCAGGAAATATGGTTTAAGAAAACCCATTCAAAACCTCTCTTAAATTCCCATTACTGAGCACACATATTTATGAGAAAATAGTTACTCTCACGGTATTTTGCTGTAATGGAATGGGCAACATGCCTCTTTGGAGAGGTTTATGGAGAGTAGGTCACATAGCCTTCTCCATTCAGAAAACATCAGATGATTTTGATCTTATTCTAAGAAGGTCTGAAGACATACATTTTGATGATAAAGCAGATGATAGTTTGTTTTGCATGCATTTCCTCATTTCAGCCTCCCAAAGCAAGAGCAAGCTATAAAATAAATTTCTCTAGATCACAATGATCTGCGCATTCTTGGCAGACAAATAATTGTTGATCAGACAAGCCACTCTACATTACACTGACTTCATTACTATACAACCAATAAATAATCTGCCAAGAGAAACTGATTTTCCAAGGTTATTTTATCAACCTAGAATTTGCCTTCCAAGATTAGCATTCATAGAAGGAAATTTCAGACCATCACTTCCATATTATTTTCTTATAAGCACTGGACTTCAGTGTTAAGTAAGCATGGCTGTAGAAGCAAAACACAGTAATAACTACTCAGAAGGAAACAATTTAGCAATGCTCTTTTTTCCTGATAGATTTAAAGAGAGGCTACTGCAAAGGAGTCCTAGTCACTGATTGGAGCATGCCGGTATTTATATAGACCAAATGATACTTTAAAATAGGCGTTGTCTTTTCTAATATTCCACCTTCCAACTTTCACAAAATAATTTTCAAACTTCATCACTGGACATACTACAGATTTGTCAAACAGATTTGTTGTACTTCTGGCAACTTTATGCATTCCATGTTAACCTATGTTAACCATGTTAACCTACAAACCTTTGTATCACAGATCTCCCCAAGCTTTATGCTTACAACTTACTTCATTTGGAAGTTATTGCACAACTCTACAATATTTATTTTGATAAAAAATTAGTGTATAAATATCTTTCATGCTTTGTATGTGAAACCAAACCAGAAAAATTCCATCTTTCTTAAAGCCTTATCCATTCAAAACAAGTCCTACTTCTTTTGCTCCCCCTCCTCTTATACCTGAACTGTGCAATCAGTTTGTATAAAGCTTAGGACCAACTGAGTCCAGATAAACTTGCTTTCATTACTATTTTC